TCAGTTCCTTCCCCCCTCGCATCAGAACTCCTGGCGGTCCCCTTGCCCAGAGATTTCAAGTTCCCACCTTTGGACAAGTATGATGGGTCCTTCGACCCCAACGACCACGTTGACGCTTTTCAGTCCCAAATGCACATCGCCAGGGCTAGTGAATCGTGCATGTGTGTGGCCTTCACCACCACCTTCAGGGGGGTAGTCCACACTTGGTACAGGAACCTGGCCCCCGGGTCGATAAAATGCTGGGCCCAGTTCGTGCAAGTCTTCACCGCACACTTTGTCACCAGCAAGTGGTGCCCCAGAACAGAGGAAAGCATCTTCGGAGTAGTCCAGAGGGAAGGAGAATCCATCTGGGCCTACATCAAGCGGTTCAATGAAGCATGCTTACAGATACCGCGGTTAGACCCCGCAGTGCAGCTCGCGGCGGCCAAGAGAGGAGTAACGCACAAAGAGTTCAAATGGCACATGGTAGCTAACCAGCCCGCAACCGTGGCCGAATTCCTCAAGCTCGCGGATAAGTTCATGAGAATAAAGGAAGAAATCAACCAACGAACCGAAAGCGGGAATGAGAAAAGAAAGAGGGAAGGCGAGCCCTCCAACCTAGTCGATAAGAAGAACCCGGCCCGAGAGCCGAAGCCGAACCAGTCGTTCCGAGCTCCCCTAGCAGTTCGGACGGATTACACGCCGTTAAACACGAGGYGGACCGAGATCTTAATGACGATCAAGGACGCCCCATACGTAAAGTGGCCACCTCGCCTAAAGGGAAATCCGAACGAGAGAAATAAGAATTTGTACTGTTGTTTCCATAGAGACCACAGTCATAGTACCGAACAGTGTAATAATCTCTGGGACGAGATAGAGGGACTCATCCGTCGCGGATACTTAAGAAATTTTGTACAACACGACAATAATAACAATAAGGCAGGTTGGCAAGGGGAGCACGGAAAGGATGCCCCCGAATCTAGCAGTAGACCAGCCGAACCGTTGCAGCGACAGCCTCCGGAAGAGAGGCCAGTTCGGGGAACCATCCATGTAATTGTGGGAGGTTTAGTGGTAGCAGGGTGTACCTCGGTAGCAGCCCGGACGTCAGTTCGCGAAGCGACCCTCGAGGAACAGAACCCCCCAAAAAGACCAAAGACTGAAGAACCGATCTTCTTCAC